ACCTTATGATGCATGCTTTTTTCTCTGAGACAGGATAGAACTCTTAGTTTAATCTGGTGAGAACTTAAAAGAGACTAATGGTGCATGAAAGCTACCTTGTTCTCACAGGTAAAGAATCCCAGATAAACTAACACAGGAATGCTATAGGTTAAACTATGGGATTTGTGGGGTTGGGGTTTTTTTTTGCATTAAAATCTATAGCACTTTGATTCATATCCCAAAAAGAGAAGCAGAATTTTAATGTTTTGTAATTGTAGATAGTACATACTAATGACCAGCTGATTATTGACATAGAAGCAGTGATGATAATAATAACAGCACAGCCTGTATTTGCAAATTATGCTAGTTTGGCCGTCATTAGAAACAACAGATCTAGGGATGATGCAGCAATAGAGTGGTATTTGCACCAGGGACAGAGGAGGTGTGTCCCTAATGCCAGACAAAAAGAACAGCAAGGAAAGAAAATGAGCTCTTGAGTCAGCATTTGTAATGTCCATTGTCCTTGTGGAAGCAGCTGCGCCTGGAAACAAGGCAAATAGAATTTGAAATGAAGAGCTGGTAAAGAAATTGCTAATTGCCTGCAGGGTTGGAGAAAACTATTGGGCCTGATTGCCAATTAACTGCACTGGTTTTTCTGACAGCTTTGATAATAGGTCAAAAAGTGGCAGGAACTGCTGTTTAGCCTGCGTGCTTTGTCCTTCGTGGTTGCTCAGCCATAGATACTCCTCTGCACACAAAGAAGTACCACGATGGTATCAACAGTAGTTTGTATTAATGTTGGATGTGGAAGTTTGCAGAAAACTCCGTGAATTGTGTTTAGATATAAAAAGCCTTCCAGGTGTAGAAGGCAGGCTAGGGATAGATGAATATTGTTACTTCATGTAAGCATATTGTTGAGGACTTACATAAGGATCAAAGGCACTTTCTCAGCGTAAAAACAGTGTTTGTGCCTACCTTGTCCTGGGGCAGCAGGAGATGGTTTCATGTAAGCATAGACTACAGAAAATCTAAGTGTCATATGAACACGACCAGAATACAGATAAGTATGTTCTCTGTAAATGAATATATCTTTCAGCAGGTCATCATAGTTTAAATAGACACGTACCTTTGGATGCTTAATGTAAAATCTCATCAGAATTGCCTGTGGACTGAGTCATCTTGGGTGGTAATAAACCTCCATGTGCAAGATATTTATTAGCTTAGATAGAAGGTCCCTGTTTCTATATCGATATTGTCTGAAATGTCTGACTAGTTTAGGTGTTGCCTTTGCTCAGACTGGATCTCTCCTGAATGCCAGAACCATGAGTGCAGCACTTCTGCCATTTAATTGACCAGCTAATTTACCCTGTAACTATATAATAGGGTATTTAAGACTGTCTCTTTAGACCAGAGGTATTAGCTGTATTTATCTGCTTCATTCAAGAACAGATGTTTCTACTGTGTTACTGAAATAATCAACACCTTAGAAAATAGCAATCTTTGATTTCCAGAGATAGAATATGATGGAAAATCTAAATTAAGAATCATAAAAGGGGAGGAGTAAAAATAATTGCAGTGCAACTTTGCAGAAATTGTTTTTGATAAAATCTGACTCATGGTAATAATAAATAATTTAAAATATTAATAGTATGACAGAAGTGGTGTTGTCTTTGGCTAAATATTTTACTTACACTTCGACATGCTGTTTTGTATTTCAGAGGACTGTCTTCTGTCTTTTTACAGCTTCAAAGCCATTTAAATTTCCTTAGTAATTTAGATTTAACTGTTTGGGGTTTTTCCCCAGTTTTTCCATAGTTCATTATTTCTTTATTTTTAATTGCTACATCAGGTTTCCAATCAAGGTACTTGCACTTCCAGAAATGTCTGTGTGTAAGGCCACTTTTTCCTGAAGATACGATTTAACTGTTCTTTTTCTTTTGTGTGTGAAGACTGCTACATGCTGCTAGTAAGCTTAGCAAAATGGATGAGTAGGATTTTAAATCTAGTACTTAAACAAGATTGAGTGACACGGAGGAAAAATACTTAACTCACCACCCACACTCAAGGCCATATCCTGTGTGACCCACAGGAACAGTCCAAGTGAAGACAGAGAAAATACTAACCCAAATAAAATAGGATCTCATTAAAATAACCCACTGTTGTTTAAGAACTCTTTTTATATAGCATCATGGAAGAAAACTAAATTACTCTGGCAACTTTTTGTAGCAAACTACTGCCATAAGCAGAAACATTTGCTGAGACGAGAATCAGTTACATAGTGCACGTAACTTGATTTTTCTTTCTTACACAGCAGTGTCAGTGTAGGTAAATAACTGCTGGTGCTGCAGCTAGGACCCAAATAATTATTTTTGCTTTTGTACTTTGAGACAGTAGTTGCATACTATTGTGACAAAAATTTTCTTGTTTTCTTGAATGGTCTGGAAGGTTTCACCACATCTCCTATTTGTTTTCTTTAAAACCCTGATGGCCCTGAAGTTTGTTCCATGAAAATCTTAACTTCCAAGTCATTTTCTTTTTGCAAGAAATGTCTAACTGATAGTTTCAAATGAGCACAAACTTCAAAACATAAATTGCAAAGACTAAAAAAGAAAAAAATCAAGAGAAAAATAAAGAGTGCAAAAAACATTCTTTAAAACAAAGCCACAGTATTTTATATCATTTTGAACAAATAGTTGCTTTGTTTATTTAAAAATAGTATTTTGAAAAAAGTTGGGGGCTACTCATTGCTAGCTCATGAGCATCGCTTGTGTCATTACACACACAGGTTTACCTACATGTAGGATAGATATCCTGTTCAGCTTTTGTTTTTTTTAGCTCCAGAGACCTTTCCAGCATTTCCTGCAGAGTATCTTTTTCATTACACACAGATTGAGAATTCTTAGTGAGTACTTCATAGTATATTATACTTTATTCTTTCCCATACAGAGTTCTCTTACCAGCAGTAAAAACAGTAGCAAAAAGATTGTCTCATTGCCTCTTGTATTTTAAAATCAAAGATAAAAACTTACTTTGCATTTATGAAAATGCTAGGACTCAAAACCATCCTATTGAGAAGTGCTTAGCAATCTAAACGTGTGCATAATTACAGTTAAGATCGATTTCTAATAATGTGAATTTTTCACTTAACTCTTACTGATACAGAATATGAATATAAATGATGAAAAGTTTATCATTCCAGGTTCAACAAAAGGCAAAATAAGGACAGGAGGAATCCCATAATACATAGGTTTGGATTGGTAGATTTGAGGAAAATTATCGGTTAAAAGTATCCCGGCCAAATTCTAATTTCTGGGTACCTGAAATCTTGATCCAGCAATGTTCTTTCCAACATAGTATCCAAATGTGTTGAATAGCTAGGCTTCTTATCAAGTTAATATTTGCAAGTCAATTTTTAGTCCAGATGATTTTTGGGTTTTGGCTTTATTTTTTTGTTGTATCACATCTCCTTTTTCTCCTGAAAGATACTGTGTAAATAGGAGGACAGTAGAATATTGGCAACCTTAGGCATTGGATGGCATTGTGTAACTGGATGTTACTGGAGAAAGAAAGGCTGACCCTGTGCTCTTCATTCTCCAAGCAAAGAGGGACAACATGTGAACACCATGCAAACCAACAGCTTGTGCTGTGCTTCTCATTTCATAGGTAGGCAGGGAGAGCCAATTTGTGCTAAACAAATGTTCCACCCAGTTGCAGAGTATGTCAGGCTGTGTCATCACTAATAGAGAAGTGTGATACCTTTCTCAGTTTAATAATATCCATCAGTGATGTCACCACTTCTAATTTTGAATTTAGGAGACATGTCAGTGGTTAATGTAGTGAGACAGTGCTATACCTGTTTGTGGCTGACCACAGCCAATTTATTTTGTATTAAAACTTTTTTTTACAGTGGAGTAGGTGCAACCCACATCAGCAGTACTTTTTTTAGTTGTCAGATTGTGAAGGACCGAAAGAAAACTGATGCGGCCAGAATGGGGAAGGAATTGTTTTCGACCAGAAATTCAGATTGAACATTACCAATCTCCTTTATTGTTAACCAAATTCTGATTCCATTATTACAATCTTACAGCAGACCTGAGAAGGATCTTCTTTTCTCAGGCATTGTACAAACACCTAGTTCTGGGGCAGTCCCTGCACTGGGAAAATCTGTAACCTGATTAATTAGGACATACAAAGGTACAGTCTTGCCCAAGGGTGTCCAGTGGGTCCATGGTAAAACCAGTTGTTGAATTCAGGAGTTCAGTTTCCCCTCCCCGTGTCTTGTCCAGTGGGTAATAGTCCAATTCCGTTGATATGCTTGATTTTGGGGGGAGAAGCAACTGCGTATAGCAGATCTGAATATTATTATTATAAGCAAATAATGACTTAGCTGTTACAGGAATATTTTTCTTGCTCTAAAGCAAAAGCACTAAACCAGAAGAAACTAAACAGGAAGGGAAGACATACACAAAGTGAAGGACAACTTTGAAAATACTAATGCAGGGTGGATTTTAGTCACTTTTGGCTTATAATATAAAAGCCAAGACAAAACCTGTACTTTGTGGTAGGCACAGCACCACCTGTAGTGAAAGTGTCCCACTGAGATCTAATACTGTGTAAGTGTTGGAGTGGGCAGTGCTTTGCAGAACTTGATCGTAGCACTAACCACCAATTGGCAATGGTAGTGCATTTAGAAATTAATTTTTCTAAAAATTGTTTGTTGAACTGTAAGGTGATGATTTTAATGTTGGAAAACCACTCACACAATGGAGGCAGGGTGTTGGTCAGTGCTTATTCTATGTGAATGAAAACATCAAGTCTATGAAAACAGGTGCTGCTATTGTGCATTCTCAGTCACTGTTACAGTGAAAGGTGTTTGATGTACTTCAAAGTGTTGTTTGTAATGTTTTAAGTGTGCCAGGCATGGAAATGTCATTCAGGTCAGGAACCTCGTATTGAAAAGATCAGTAACTTGTATGTGCTTGGAATTAAAGCCTTATATATTTCCCATTTATTATTATTAGGTATTATCAATAGAGGACAACACTTTTTGCTGTCCAGAGATGGAAAACAACATAACAACTATCTCTCGTGAAGAGCTTGAAGAACTAAGAGAAGCATTCGATAAAATAGGTATGTTTTAAATAGAAAATAATAGGATGCCATTAACATTGCAAAGCTGTATAGGATTTGTGGAATAAATCTTTTATAGATCACTTTGCTTTGATAGGGCCATGTTTTCCTTCTATGTTGTCAGTAATATCTAAAATAAGAATATTTACATAACCCCCTTTATTTTCACTGAAACTATGTGTGTTTATTCATTTCTTTCAACTTCATCAATGAAAATAGATACATTTTCTTGCTGGGCAGTTGTATTAGTTGTGCCACTGTGTCTGCAGAATGGTAGGTCTCAAAATTATTTTTTTTTTACCTTCTTACATCTGAAAAAAAATTAAACTTCAATTGTTAAATGTATTTTCATGTTAGATTACAGACACTTTGGTTTTGCCTTACTTGTATGCTTGGTGAACTAGTAACTTCTCTTTTTTATTGTATTGGATTTCACATTTTAAGTAACTTGAACTTGGAGACTCTTTGGACTTGCTTTTGTACCTAGCAGATGTTAATAAATAACATACAATTTTGTATGCTTGACAGGATGTTTGCAGATTAATCGGAAAGTAAACAGAAATAGCAACTAACCCTTATTTCCAGATTGCAGTACAATACTGTTGTGAATGTTAAAGATCACATTTCCTTTATTTCTTATTTGCTGCAGTTCTGAGGGAGGAAAGTGTATCTGGGCACTTCAGCAAATAAAACATATGTCATCATTCATAATGGCGGAACAGGGTCGCTTTATGCAAGAAGTCCTAAATATTAGGAGTCTCCAGCTTGGTGAAGAGACAGTTGGGCAGATGTATGTTAGAAATCTGTAAGACCATGAGTAGTATGAAAAGGATGAAGAGGGAGTTATTTGGTTTCTGTCAATACAGGTGTCACATGATGCCCAGTAGAGAGTCAGAAAGCTTAAAATAAAAAGTAACTTGTGTTCATGATAAATAATAAAACCATAAACCCATTGACTTGGGATGAAGTTGAGACCAAAAAAGAGTGGAAAAGCTAGAAGAAATAAGGTACACATCCATGGAAGGTAATTAATGAGTTGCTATAAAACAATCATCTTGATGTATTCTGTAGCTCAAGAAGTCTACAGCCTGTGGGAGCTGGAAAGACAGACCAAAGAGAAGAGCACTGTGTATATGTAACTGGGAGGTGTTAGGATAGGTAGATACTGCTGTTGTCTGTTTTTCTGTTTGTTTGGTTTTCACCATTTGCATTCCTTCTTTTTCTCCCTTTCCCTTCTGTGTCTTTTCACATTTCTGCTCTAAGAATTCTCTGTATTGCTCCTAGTCGCTGAAAAGCATTTTCTTCCTTACTGTATTGTGCTTTCTGTAAAACATAAAAATTAAGCATCATTTAGCTTTTTCTTATCCATTTTTACATTTTTAGTGTCTTTATGGATAAATTACTTGCAGCTATGCTGGTAAACTGAGAGAAAAGGCATGCGTTTAACTCTCTGCTTGTCATCATGGAAACTTGCCCTCAGTGAAAGATGAACCTAGAGAAATAAAATAGCTGGTAATCTGAGTGAGCTTGTGAGCGTGTCCTCTGCTTTTTAGAGTGTCCCTGTTATGGCGTGTGTTGTTACATGTCTGCAAGGCAGACAGTGGATTGGATTAATACATATGCAGACATAAAGTTTGTCTGTGGTGTGATTTGTGAATTGCTGGAAGTATTGAAAACACAAAGAGATGGTTTTTTAACAGGTGTTTTTAGCCTTTTGCCAGCAGTGAAATGTGGCTTTCTCATAAAGCTGTACACAAGCTACATAGTGTAGTTTGGATTACAGGGAAATTACTGTACAGCAGTCAATTATGTCTAGAGATGAAAGCATGTTTCTCTGCTTGCCCTTCTGTAATGTGATACGTATTCATCTGCTCTGGTATTATTCGCTGAGTTCTGACACTAGAGACAATATGAAGAGAAGCCTTTTAACTAGTAAATGAAACAAAAACAAAAGCAGGAGCACCTTGACAAATCAGATTAGTGGCCACATCATCTTGCTTCTGACTAACTGTGTTTTCTTAAATTACTTATTTTTAAAGATGCATCATTTGTAGAACTGAGAAAATACTATTCATTCATATTTTTTGAGAGTTCTAATGTGATCATGAAAGAGATTAAAAATTGTTGTCAAACATGGAAAATATTAGCATAAAACATATTAAGTGATGGGCATTATATCCAGCACTAGTTATGCTGGCTATGATTTCTTGTATTTGATGGAGCTTCATTTATACTGTGTATAGCATTTCTGCTTCTAAAAGTACTTTTCCCACTTGCCTAGACATTGCACTGCAGGTAAAACTATTTTAATGCTTGTATAGATATGTGCATACATATATACAGAAATATGCATAGATATAAAAAAATTAGGAACAGTTAATGTATTTGATTCAGTTATGTATTATTTTGCATAAAAACATATTATAGGTTTGTATAATGGTGCTTTATTATACTGAAACAAGAATTCACAACAGCTTTCTGCACACAGATTGGCCTAAGTTTTACGATTTCTTCTGTGCTGCTGTGTTAATCATTATGAGTATCACAAATTACACTGCATTTATCTTAATTTATTTTTATGTGATACAGCCATTCATTTCTTTCCACGATTGTGGAGCTGTATATGCACCTCTTTTTTGGGAAAAAAAAAAAAAAAAAGCATTTGCTGTACATGGACATTCCTGACGTGGTTGTGGGAGCCAAGTGTAAGTGAAGGTGGCAGTAAGAATCGCTCCCAATGCAGCTAGTTAATAGATTAAGGAAGGTCACCTTTAATAAATAGATCATCCTGGATTTATTCTTCACAGGTAAGCCTAACTACATCAAAAGTTTTGAAGATCAGAAAATATCTATCAGATACTAGGATAAGAAACAAAATGCAGAGTCAGGTAGAGTTCTTGTGTAAGTAGTTTTTCTTGTGTAAGTGTGCTCCTCTAATAACAACTTGCACCAGATTTGAGGTTACTGGCTGCAATGGTATAATAGGACACTAGGAATATAATAATTGATCTTCTTTTCACTTGAAAGTTTATAGACAATTTGTTGGGAGTCTTAAAAGCTTAAAATTCGCTGTTTACGAGTTTGCCATCTTGTTATAGCTGTACTTTGGGGTTATAGGAGAGTTTCTGAGAAATATGTAACAAGATGGCACAATTGCTAGTCAGTTCTGTCTCTAACCCACAAGCATTCCTTCATACCTACCTATCTATGTCAGAAGAAGTACTCATCTTCTAGAATTGTATTTCTCAGGCTTTATTTATTCTCAACACTTACTCTGCTTGGTTTTTTACATAAGTATGAAAACAACTTGTGCTTTCATTTTACAGACATTGACAACAGTGGGTACGTCAGTGATTATGAGCTTCAAGACCTGTTTAAAGAAGCAAGTCTCCCCTTGCCTGGTTACAAAGTTCGGGAAATTGTGGAAAAAATCATTGCGGTGACAGATAGCAACAAGGATGGGAGAATCAACTTTGAAGAGTTTGTCTCTGTAAGGTGTTCCCTTTGGATGTTTCTCTACTGTCTGATAACTGTTAAGAACTAGGATAGAAAACTGAATTAACTGGTACAAAGTACCATTTTGATACAAATAATATTTTGAGAATGGGAACATTTTCTGTGACAATTTATAATATCCTATGTAATTATTTTGCAGTCTATATTTCACTCTCCCGTTTAATTTAGTAGATCTCATTTGGGCAGTACGTGAGAGCATAGTAGTTTAAATCAGTTCCACTTTATGTATTCCATCCCCTCATCTTTGAGGAAACAGATTTTAGGAACTGTTGGGTTGACCCTGTCAAAAGAGTAGATACCAGCCTCTGGATTCTCTGAGTGATAAACTAATGCTTGTGCTACTGTGCTTAGTCTCTGTACTAAAGGTTGGGGTTTTTTTCCTGGAAGTGAGGTACAGTTTTTCACTTCTAGTGAACAAATTTGAAAGGTTTATACATTTATTTATTTTTTAATGTGGATCACTGGCTAGTGTGCTTTATTTAAGAGAAACAAAAAACTTCGGGGTGTTGGCTTGTGTGTGTATTTGGGGATGATTTGTTTTTGCTTTAAGTTTAGAGTACTGTTGATAATTGCAGCAGGTTCCTTGTTGAACTAGTTATTGATCTTTCTTTCCAAGATTCTAAATTGCAGTGGTTCATAGGCAAGATGCAACTATTCATATCCAGATACTGAGCTGTAGCTGTTACTTATACTTCATTGTCAGTTTTGAGACGTTGAAGGTTTTGGGGCAAATTTAGGACACATCAGTATATCCAATGTGTTTTACATTGTAGGCAGGTAGAAAACGGTGTCAGCTTGCTTAGGGCATGTATTAAGTCACATAGTAACCTTTTACTGTGAAGCATATGATGAAGTGAAAGAAAAGTGTTATAGTCATTGAAAATGTGTACATTTTTAGTTGTTTTCTTCAGTTTACCAAAATATCTGTGGAAAAAATTGTGTAGATTGTTGTTTATCTACTTTTTTAGGTAGCATGACTTAGTAAGATATCACTTGAGGTACTTGCTGAGAAATAATAGATATCCAGTATGCAAGTTTCATTAAGAGATTTAAACTAGTTTTACCCCTACAGTAAATTTTTTTTCAGAACAGAAGTCAATATAAATGCTGAAGAAGGGCAATCAGATTAATTACTGACTCTGGAGTACTTATATGAGTTGTAAATTAGTTTTTTGAAGCTATGCTCAGTCACAAAATGCTCTCTATTTTTCTTATTCCAGATAATTCAGGAATTGAAAAGTAAAGATGTTAGCAAATCTTTCAGAAAAACAATAAACAAAAAGCAGGGTATTACAGCAATTGGAGGAACATCAGCAATATCCAGTGAGGGAACACAGCACTCTTATTCAGGTAAGAAATAATTAAACACGAGCAAATTCTACATGGAGGAACATTCTTTAATTTTGCATTAAAGATGTAGAAAAACCCAGCTGGAAAAAGCTGCTCTTGAGAGCAAATTAACACAGAGAAAGCATGTGGAGATGGACAAGATAAGTGTGGGTGGTAGTTTATTAAAAGGTAGGCTGTTTGGTTATTAGTTTGACGCTGCACCTGGAGGTAAGTTTGGCATCTTTGCCAGAGAGAAAAATGAAAGCAAGCACTGACAGCAGGGCATGGGCAGAGGGATGACAATGACAGAGAACTAATGGTCCCTCTGGCACATTTGTAGTAATGCTGGTCAAGTTTTGGCTTAATTGCAAGCTAATCTACTCTTATTCCTATATTCAGATAAAAACGAATCCTCATTTTCATTTGTATGGTCTTAACTAAAATGAAAAACACCCCACATATAATTTCTGGATGGAGGGGCCTCCTCAGCTGTCTTTGTGCCACTACAGAATTGTTCATTCCCGTATGAATTTTGCATAGCCTATCTCATGCTTGAGAAGTTGCTTTTAGTATGTGATCTCTGTTTCTTCTTCTCTCTGCTGCACGTCATTTAAGTTGGTAATTGTACCTAATTGCATTGCAGCTCCTGATCAGAATGTTAACTACCTTTGAGGATTTTATTGCAATAAGCAATATTGCAGCTTTTTGATTGACTCAAGTCTGGGATTTGCTGTGGTTCCAGAAGTGTGTTAAGATTCTATATTTAAGGAAGATTCACTTCAGTTCGTTAAAAGTGGTGATTCCATCTCTCTAGGATTTTTCCTTATAGCACCAGCTGCATTTTGTATATATCAAAAGCTAATACTCCGTCTCAAAGGATGCCTGTAGGGGAGATGACATCAGAGCTAATTGTTTAGAGTCCTTTTCATTTTTGGTGGAGAGAAACTGACCCTGCCAGACTGCAATTCATTTGATACGACCTCATCAGCCATCTTGTTTCTGATGAGATGAAATGAAAACTTCAGTTTTCTTCCCATTGACAATGAAAGAAATGTAAGGAGTTAGGTGTAGATACTTGTCCTGTATGCTTCTTGAGGGAAGTGTAGACAGTACACTTGTATTGTCTGGAAATTTGGATACTGATAATTGATTGACTGTTGTCCCAATAAGCATTCTTAGATACATAGTAATAAAATCTGCACTAAATATAAAAGAGAATTTAAAACTGAGACACTAAACTTTTCAAGTTTCTCAAAGCTAAATACAGCACAATAATCCAGATGATGGTCTAAAAATACTGCCCAGACTCTGAAGTCCTGGGAGAAGGCAGAATGAAATGGTGCATTTTAAACCAAGGGTGTATAGATTGAGATGTTGCATATTTCAGATCAGTTTTCCCTATTTTCATTGTAATTGCCAAGAAACATGATGACCCATTATGTTGCTATGATTTTTATGTTGTTCTTCAGAAAATCACCAGAAGTTTAGAGAGTGCAGCAGGAGAAAGGTCAATCTGATTTTTTTTCCACTTTTTGCATGCTTTCCCACTGGTCTGATTCTTTTCATAACTGGCCCCTGTGAAACTAAGGGGTTTTGTTACAGATGAGCCTCTTTGACTCAAGTCTGATGCTTAGTAGTATGTGTTCGTGAAAATGGTAATAGATTATTTTAGATTATTTTAGTGCTGTTTTTTCTTTACAGAGGAAGAAAAAGTAGCTTTTGTCAATTGGATAAATAAAGCTCTACAAGATGACCCAGACTGTAAGCACCTCCTACCTATGAACCCATCAGATGCCAGTCTTTTTAAATCCCTTGCAGATGGCATTCTTCTCTGGTAAGTCCAGGGCTGCAGAAAAGAAATAAATCTTAAAGGTTAAATGCTGATTGCAGTGAATTGGAAAACTTCATAGGCTTTAATGTCAGGACTCCACTATTAAATATTTCCACCAATGCGTAGGATGGAAAAAATCTGTTTGCCTATAGAAATGTTGTATTTAGGAAATTTCTTATGTGGCTCTGTATATATTATGGAAATGGGTTTCCACTTCAGGTCCATAATTACACACATAGATACATGCAGGCTTTTTATAGAGGAGATAATTACATAGTTCATATATTCATTAGCTGAGAAGAATTAGAAATCCTTGCTATTCCAAATATTTTTAAAAGTTACTAAATGCAGGAACAGATATCTAAATTAAATTCATGGCAAAACAGAGCATATAGTAGGTCCTTTAACTTTAGTCTGCTGGAACTTTCTAGTTAAAGTAGAATAATAGTACTTATTAATACACCATCGTAGCAAGGGATTAGATAATTGGTATTGGTGTGAATTAGACTTTGAGATCCTCATAGATGATGCAGTGCAGAAATATATTGGTTATATTACAAAGATTTTCACTAGAAGCTATTTAACTGTCTTTGGTTTATAATTTTAATCTTCTCAAGCACAGTTACTTAATACTAAAGTATAAAAGCCAGTTGCTCAATTTTCTTATAATTATTTATTATCTGGGGGTTTCTGGATGAATGTGTAATTATTTAATAGGGAGAGGTGTTTAGAGGATGAGGTGGTCTTTTTCTATATTGTCAAAAATATTTGCAGCTAGTTTAAAGTGTTAGGGGTTTATTAAATAATGTATTTTCTGAGAAATGAAAGTTTACTAAACTCTGGCTTTTCTTCCTTAGCAAAATGATCAACTTTTCACAACCAGATACAATTGATGAAAGGGCTATTAATAAGAAGAAACTCACTCCTTTCACTGTTTCTGTAAGTACTGCACAGCTAGGAACTTGCCACAAATGAAACAGTAAAATATTTTTCTATACTTCATTTTAATGACAGTTCTGGTAGAGATTAAAAAAAAAAAGTGCTTTGTATTAAAAAATGTTAAAGCATGAAGTTGTATAAACTCTGCTGAATTTTCCTGTTTCTTCAATGATGTACAGGAAAAACTTGTGTTTTTCAAGCTTTCCTTTGTTCTTCCCCTTTTCACTATTCTTATTTTACTTTACAAAGACTTCTAATTGGATGGTCAGGTCATATTTTAGCAGTGCAGAAAGTATCTGCATGGCTGTATACTGCATAGTAGGATGATCCATTTTCAGTAGCGGAGAGTGGTTTGGACGGAAGATGAGAAGCTCTATTTTTAATTGCATGTGATGTCATGAAAATATTCAAGAGAGACAATTTTTAAGTCCTTAGCTTGGGTATAAGAAAACAAGTCTGAAAGAGGGAAGTAGATCCATAAGTTACCTGCCTAATAAGGTAAAAAAATCCTGAATGAAAACCTCAGTTAATTGGAAGAGTTTTCATTTCAGGATGTGACATTCAAATACAAAAAGTTAAAACCATGTTAAAAATCATCCAAGTGGGTTTTGTAATCTCTACTTATTAAAAGAAGATGTGTCAGCAAAGATGATACTACATGTGGTGTCTCTGTAGATACTTAAAATATGACACAAGAAAATGGACAGTAATATTTGCAAGAGCTGCCGGGTATTTTTTCTTGGAATGTTTTATCTGTGACAATCATTAGCTTTACTTTCAGTGTCAGGATTTTGAATTGCAATGACTTTCTTATGCTGTCTGTTCATTTACAGTTAAACAGTTTCTTGAATAAATGCATAAGAGCCAAGATGGGATGACAGTGACATCAGTATCCTCTTGCACAGGGCAAAATTCCATATGAGCATGTTTTTCCACAGGATCAAGCTCCTGATATTTTGAGCAATATTGTTTAATTTGTGTATGTGATACTTAAGACTTACAAAAAATATTTTGATTAGCATATTTCTCAGTGATCCAAGCTGATGAAGGTGGTTTGTGATTTTTTGGTGGTCCATATTAAACTTTGTGAATAATATTTCCCTTTAAATTTTGATAACATACATGATGGTTCACAAAAAATCTGCAGAGTGCCATTTTCCACTGGAAGCCATTGAACAAATGCGTTATTTCCTGTAACTTCTGAAACTTACAAAATTTAATATGAATAAATTTACTAACAATTATGATCTCTTAAATTTGTTAAATAATGATATTCCAAATAGGAAAACCTAAACCTGGCTCTGAACTCAGCATCTGCTATTGGCTGTACGGTTGTCAATATCGGATCACAAGATTTGCAAGAAGGAAAACCACACTTGGTATTAGGACTCTTATGGCAGATCATTAAAGTTGGTCTTTTTGCTGACATTGAGCTCTCCAGAAACGAAGGTAAGAGTAGTGCTAGGTATAGCAGTGTCTGCAATTTGGAGTTAACTGAGATTGCAGTAGCAATGATTTCAGCTTTCTTTCAAACTTGCTTTTAGCTCTTATTGCATTGCTAAATGAAGGGGAAGAACTAGATCAGTTAATGAAGCTTTCCCCGGAGGAGCTCTTGCTACGCTGGGTGAACTACCATCTGGCCAATGCAGGGTGGCAGAAAATCAATAACTTCAGCCAAGACATTAAGGTATGTAGTTATTGCTCTGATAATTGAACATAATAGTATTTGAAAGCACTATGCATAGAAACAAATGAGCCAGATCGGAAGTATTTAGAAAAATAGTAGTCATCTGCTTTTTCTAGCTATAGGTTCATCCTACATTTTTTGACACTGAAAGAACATTGTTTTTATTTCTCGTATCCTATTGAGTTCCTCATATCGTGTATTTTCGCATCACTGTAAAACAAAGTGAACTTTCCAACAAGTTCATATTCAGGGAAGTTCTAATGTAATTATTGGAGTTACTTGGGACAATTCACACTACCTTTTTAGTTGCCTTTTTCCTGTCCATCCATCCCTGCTCCTGGGTCTGCACAAACCCATCTTTTCTTCCTTTTGTTGTTTCAAGGAAGATGTGTATGCCTTTAGATCTCCTCACGGTGCATATTTGCTAATGATTATGGCCCTTTGTACTAAGCATTCTACAGAAGAGTAGGAAACCTCTTGAGGAAAGAACACTTGGTTCTGTGGTTATTCAGAGGGCTGTCTGGATTAGCTCCTGATCCTTGATGTAAGGAGAGAGAAGCCCGCCTTGATCCCTGTGCTTTGCTGGTGTGACAATTCTCTGGCACAAGGGCATGCTGGTTCCTTGGGGCAGGTGGCAGACCTGCATGATTGGACTAGATGGTCTCTAGAGGTCCCTTCCAACTCTGACAATTCCGTGATTCTCTCTTTTTCAGTCATTCTACATAAGGCATGCAGAGTACTGCAGTAACTCCAGTTGAAGAGAGAAAAATCCAACTTTTTAAAACTAAAAGTGAAGGAGGAAGATTCCCTTCTCTCTTTTCATTGAAGAAAACCGTGTCATTAATTGCTAGTTATATATTTTGAAATGCTCCAAGAAGGCCATTATTAAAGCAAACCTTAAGTAGGGTTTTATATGAAAACTTCTACTATAGTAAAAATACTACATGCTATTTAAAAGAAGTATTGAGTACTTCTAAAGCTAGCAGGTTTTTGGTTTATTTTCTTAGTTTCTTAGTGGATGGGGAAAAACCCAGAAGCATACTGAAAACTGTATCAAATAAATATAATTTCTTTTGTCACTTTAGATTAATCCTAAAAGAGCCACTTTACTCTCTGTTTTTAATTCCAATCACCTTGTTGATTAAGAAAGAGGAAATTTTTATAGAAGTGTATTTGAAAAGGGTAGTGAAGGAATAAAATTGGCCTATAAGCACAGTAAATGACTGCTTGCTCATTTTTTTAAAAAAAACTATTGTACTTCTTGTTTTAGGATTCAAGAGCATACTACCATCTGTTAGATCAGATTGCACCCAAAGGGGATGACCCTGATGAATTGCCCATTAAAATCGACTTTTCAGGATTCCATGTAAGTATCCAGAAACATAAAAATAGACTGGAATTATTGGAGACCTCCGTGTATGTATTCAACATCCTTGTTACAAGGCTGTCCCAGAATCCCCTTTTGTTTTATAATGCATACAAACACATACAAAAAGTACAATCAGATTTCTCAACTTCACAAAATCTTAAATGGGTAAAAGCCTGAGTAAAGTTCCAGGGCGCTGCTGAAACAGGATAATGCATCCTGCAGACTAAAGTTTGGAGCTATGTTTTGCTTGGAGTAGTGTCTAACTGTTTTTTATTTTCAGTTGGGTCCTCCAACATGAATATTACAACATTCTGCTTCAGTTCTGCTTTTCTGGAATTCAGACAAGGAGAAAGCGTAGACTTCACAAACCTTGTGATCCTTCCTCATACCACACTGTATTCAGAAATAACGTGAGCCCTTCCAATAACCAGCAGGAAAGGAAAGTGTTACAACCATCAAGCTTTAAGCTGTAAAGGGGTAGAGGGTCTAAAACCAGCTTAGATAGATGTGAAAACACTGTTCTCTAAGCTGCTGTGTAATGCTCATTGGAAAGGTTATTCTGAGAATGTGTTTTACACAGAAATTAACTGCCTGCCTAAGATATAAATATCTATGTATCAATCAGAATCTTAAGTAGAATCTTGTTATTCATTATAATGAAAACCCATGTGCAAAACTATGTTTGCATCCAAGCTTTAGTCCTCTCAAACTCCTTTGTGAGGAGAGCTCTGTTTTGTTTGTTTGCTTTTTTTTGGGGGGTTTTTGGGGAGTGAGGAAAGGATAGTAATTAACTTTTTCCCTGTAATTTCCTACAGTTCATATGATCATTTTTCTGTAGTGGGCTATAAGCCAGTTATCAATAGCATGTAACAACTTCTTGTTCTAGAGAAAGTTTCTGGTTGAGTGTATCGATGCTGAATTACTCACCGTTACTCAAGTCTGATAGTAATTCAGTTACTAATTCTTTTCCCTATAAATAGTTACTTTTAGTGTTGTGAAGGGTAGAGACAAAAAGTATATGGTACACATTTTTGAAGATTATTAATCTACTTAGAATAAATCAATCAGGATGAATAAAAATAACACATAGGTTACCAACTTAAGATGATTCAGAGGCAAGAATATTAAAAGGAAAGTAAGGTAGTAGATTGTCACATTCAGACTCTCATTGAGGATTTGGGGCATCGTCTATAATTACTGTGCTTGAGAATATCCTTTTAAAACAACGATGGTGAACCTATTGCATGTGGAGTATGCAGTGTGGGAATCAGCAATCTGGAAACAGAAGTATAACCACTACACCTCTGGCTGCTGCTGTTGCTGTGATTTATGAGGAGTGCTGTGCAGGCAGCCACAGAAGTGAAGGACTGAGAGAAAGTTTAAGGAAGATGGGGAGAGGGGAATTGTTATGGGCAGTAAGAGCTAGCTCAGGCTTTGGGGACATGAGGGAGAGACAGGCATGGGTCGTTTAAAGATCAGCCAAACTGACGATTCAGTAAAGAATGGAAACATGCTAGGATTCATTACAAATTAATTTTTATTATTTTTTTTTTTCTTTTAGGATAAAAATGACTTGAGGAGGGCTGAATGCATGCTCCAACAGGCAGATAAATTGGGCTGCAGACAGTTTGTAACTCCAGCTGATGTGGTTGCAGGCAACCCTAAACTCAATTTGGCTTTTGTTGCAAATCTCTTTAACACATATCCAGCCCTACACAAGCCTGACAATTCATCTTACGATCTCAATTTATTAGAAGGTACTCGACTTGCTAAGCATACAGGAGATAAGAGTATTAGTGATTTCTACTACAGTATTCCTTCTAGGTTGTGATATAGGATCCCTGTGTGATGGTGCTCGTGTTAATACCAGCATATAGAGCTTTCTCACTAGCTTTCCATATAAGCCCATAGTAGAAGTCCCCGTTACTGTGAATATTGTTCACTTGTGTTGGCCTGACCAAAGGCTATTCCTGAATAACCGTCTATCATTCATTTGCAGGAGCAAAAACTGTCCTCTTACTCCCCTTCCAGTTTCCTGTGCTTCTTTCCATACTGTTTGTATTTTAGCTGATGCATAAATTCTAGCTTTCCCTAATTTGCAGTGCTAAACTATGCAACTGTAATAGTCCTTTAAAGTATTTTTCACGTATTGTTCTTACATATATGTTTGTGTATGTGGATTAGTTTGTTGCCTTTTAAAGCAGGAAACATTGGGGGGGAAAAAAAGCTTATGTATCAGCAATCTATTTTAATCTATTGCATCAGCAACCTATATAGATCCTAGCACACCAGCAAGTTTGGACTTTAACTGTACAGTTCAGATCCCTAATGCTAAAGATGAAGGGATAATTGGTAGCGGTCCTTGGCTGTTTCCCTTTCTGTGGACCAGCTAATCTGGAATAATGAAGCAGCTCCTGCCAGTGTATTTCACAGTTGTTCACTGATCTCAAAGGAATGGTGAGAATCAGGGGTGCCACATTCGGGAGAATCTTCAGCAATGTTCACACATTCCTCTGCACTGCCTACTCCTGCCTTCCTCTTACTGTTCCTATCAGGTTTCCTTTCCATCTAGGTGAGTCCATCTTCCTTTGCTCCTCTTTTTTTCATAATTTGTCTGCTCTGCTGCATCCCTGTGTCACAAATCTTGTATCCCTCAGACCACTCTTTCTGCTCTTCTAGTTTCAGCTAGCTGCCTGCTGTGGTAGAGGTGTCAGAGCACAGGAGGTAGTCTTCCCTTTTCAGCTGTGATATCCCTAATCACCACAGTCCCTGCTATCCAGGATGAATATGGATGAAGGAAATACCTGCTTTTGCTCAGCTGCAATTTTGTTAGAAATGTATGCTCTTGGAATGTGTACAGGAGCTGAGTGTGCAGGTGGAATGTGTTCAGTTCAGCTTCTCTGTTCTGAACATAAAATTGCAGGTGTGATTTGAAATACTGAAAACTTGGTCAAATTTAGAAGACTTCATTGGCGTGGCAAAAAAAAAAAAAAAAGCTGAACTGCTTTCTAAGCTTTCCTAAAACATCAAAGTCTTGGCTAAAATAGTTCAGAGAAAGTTACAATCACCTGAATGCTAGATTTTGTAATGATAAATGCTGGCCAAATTTAACTTGTTGTTTATAGTATATATTTTGGAGATAGATAATCATGCCAGTGTTATCTGTTCAAAGGCATTAGCCCCTAAATAATAACTCCTGTGGTGTCATGTAGATCTAAACCATCAAAATAGTTATTTCAGTCAAAAGATGGTGTTGTTAATATGTTTTTCTTTAAATTTTTTTTTATTTTTCCATAAAATCCCATGTTTTTACTGATGTTTTCTCAAGGTAGTGATATAAAATATAAAACATTCATTTCTTTATAGTTTCATTGTAGATTGTCTGTTGAAATCTGACTCATAATTTATAATGCTTTCCTATTTTGCTTCATGAAATCCAGATTTGACCCCTCCTAATGTAGGTACTGTATTTAGTACTTTTCTGTACTCGTTAAAGTGTTTATTCTGCAATTTTTCTTATTTTTTTTTCCCTAGTGTTTTAATCATCTCTGTCTTTTTCTGGTTGTTTTTTGCATTGTTCTTGTATTTTTCTGTTGCTTTAATATGCCGTCCTAAGTAAAATAGAAGAAAAAGATCCCCGTGGGTTTAATGTGATGTATGTAAAATGGGGGCAGGACCTGCAGGAAGTCAAGTGCTATATAGTTCTTTCTGTGGGTTTAAAAAGTAGGGGCCTTTCATGACCCAAACTCTAATGCTCTAGGCATGTGTGGGTGAGTAGAGCTCTCTGAAAGTCTTCATTTGCTGCATAAATTCCATCTTTTCAGTGACCGTTCCAGCCAAAGAGTATGATGTGGGTTCTCTTTGGGTTAAGACTGTGCATAAATCGACATCTGCTCTGACAGTGCTTAGCAAAGTCTGGTGATGTGCGCTTACCCAGAGAGCACATCCCTCAGGTAGACTGACACAGCAAAATGAACTTTGGATATTATCTGGGGATGGAGGGGAGAGTCCTGATATCAATTGATTCATGACCTTTAACTGAGTGTTGCTCTTGCTCTGAGGAACATCTCTCTTGTGGGCAAGGCAGCAGAGTTTGGAGTTGAAGTCACACAGAAAGCTGAGTCCTTGTGGGGAGGAAGAGGAAGGACTTCTGTCCACCCATGTTTCCTCCAGCGTAGGTGTCCTCTGCTGCTGGTGCTTAATCCGCTGGCAGCCTTCAAGGCTGTTACCAGGAGAGGGGTAACTACTCCCAGTCAGGCCAGCGGAACGTAGGGTGCAAGTTGCATCTTGAGCTCTGTAATCGTAGCTTTTGGAGCTCTTTGGATTCTTGACCCCATCCCTATGGCTACTCCCCAGTAGTATGACGATCTCAAAGAAAGAGATGGCAATAAATATAAAGGATGCTACCAAATTTGCTCCTCTCTTTTTTGTGTAGCTCTGCCCCCTTTCTGCAGCTTTCCAATGCTTTTGGCTATCTGCTGCACCACTCAGCAGAAGATATGCACCTGATAGGATCACAAGGTATATTTTGACTAAAAGAATAGAGGGAAAAAAATTGGTCAGTTCTCAGCCATCTGGAAAACTTATGAACGCTAATGTGTTGCGTGATAGAGGGATTTGTTTAGAGTGGCATATTAAATGTAGTATGCTGGGCTTAATTCCTGGGTTTCCAGTATCCAAAAGGGTGCTGCCCAACTTGCATGCTCTTGCTCTTGCTTGGCAACTTTGGATTCTTTTGAGTGTTAAGCATGCATTTTAAAATTCTCAGTCTGAGTGCAGTTGCCGAGTATCTGTTTTGGTAGCTACCCTTTTTTTTTTTAGTAAGGGTTCATTAAATAATCTTGTTACTGCCCTTGCAATGGACAAGTGCTCCTAAAAGCACTTTGCAGTCAGCAGTTTGGGTATTGCAAACCAACTCAAAGCACAGTAAGCCTAAAAACTTCAAAAAAAGAAAAAAGCAAAAGAGACTTGCTTAAAAATACTGTATCCTCTTAAATTACTCTTTATAAACTTAAATTATTTGCATTGTACCTCTTTTTTGGGGGGGGAAGATATTTTTAATAATTTTGTCATAAAATGTGACTCTTTTGCTGTCTTTTTCAATTTTGTTGTGGGAAGAAATATATGAAACAAAGCTGACTGCCTGAAGACTTTGCAGAATAGTATTTTTCTTTGTTTCAGCATGTATTCATCAGCGACTTTGGTAGTTTTTACAAGCAAATATTTGAAACATAATAGCTTAAATTGCATATTAAAGACCTCATAATTGAGAAAGATTATATTCATCCTACAGATATATTTTCTATGTCATAATTGGAAAACAATGTAACTTGTAAGCTGGCTGAAACTTTAAAAATTTATTCTGTTGGAAAATGTCAATTATAGCTGAAATTTCTTAATTTAATTTTTATATAAATAGATTTGGAAGATGAGAGCTTTTTTTATAAAAGGGGAAGAGACCTAGATTAAAATTATAACCTCTACCTAAAAATCGGCCTGTTTCATGGAAAAGTAATATTGAAGAGGTTTATTAATTTGTTGAAGAGGTTTATTCTAATGATAAACACATGTTTATGCAGTAGTTTCATTTTGGAAAAATATTCATTGTTCTGTAGTCAGTGTAGAACTGCAGAACTAATACTAAATGAGGTGGTTTTCATACTACATAAACCTCATTAGACAAACTCAGTACCATTAGCCTCTAAGGAACATTAAGAAAAAAAAAAGCAAAGAAAAATCTTACTCAGATTTTTATGTCTTTGAGGCCTGAGAAATCTCTGCTTTCTTTGTTTGGGGAGGTTTTTTTCCTCCTCACTGTCCTTTCTGTTGTCTTAAGTGTTCACTACCAGCCCAGGGGAACAAAGCCATGAGGTTATTCCAAGCTCACATATTCAGGCTAAATATTTTCTTAAATGCTCTTCTTTGTAAAAAAAGCAGCTTATGCAGCACTGATTCTCGTGCAATTGGCCACAGATACATTGTTAAAATTTAGGTAATGTTAGGTGATGTAGAAAATTACTGTGTTACTGCAAACTGTAATTTTTATAGAGAAAGAACTTTAGTTTAGGAATTCAGGATTACAATAGATAAAAACAATCTAAATCAGGAAAGTGAAGGATTGTGTTTGGTTGGTCACTCCACCCACCCCCCCCCACCCCCCGAGTTTTCTGTATTTCTCATAAGCAGAGTTGCTAGTTAAAACTTCAAGAATAACTAGCCCCCTTGGCAATATAAACAGCTTCACAAATCTACCCAATATAATACTGCCTTGCTAAGTCTCCAAGGTTAAAGACTAAAAGGGTGAGATCTAGTGCTTTAGAGAGGACCTTCAAAAATTAATATTGGAAACTTTTGTGTGGAAACAAGTGGAGCTATAGTTCCTGGAGTTTGATGCAATTGCAATAATTGTTTTAGTAGTAACTTTTAATAAAAATATGCCATTTCAAACAGATTTAAAGACACTGTTGAATGCAGTTTCCACTAATTCTGGTTTTAGGAAGTTATTCTTAATCTTCGCTATTTTTTCCATGAGATGTATTAATTGTATAAAATATAACCAACATGCTGTCTATTTCTGTATTTTATCGAATTGTATTTACATTGAAAAATGGAGTCTAATAGTACTGTCTGTAGTGCTTCTGGCCTTGTGCCCAGAACTGAGGGACTCTGAACTTGATAGGACTGCTTCAGCTTATTGGACAGTAGAGACTCCTGTCAGGGGAAGGATAAACTCTTTTTTTTTTTTTTTTTTTTTTTTTTTCTGTGGGAGGGTTACAGGATGGGGTGAGTGTATGAGAGTCGTTTAAACATTGCTTATTGAAGTGTTTTCTCCAGTGATTCATATAGAATTGTACTTGTCACCATAGGAGAAAGCAAGGAAGAAAGAACTTTCAGAAACTGGATGAATTCACTGGGTGTAAGCCCATATGTTAACCATTTATACAGGTAAGGTGTTTGTTTGTTTGTTTTGAACAATAATTTGATTTCCCTTGAATGACAGGAGAAGAAAAAAGGGAAGAAGGAAGAGAAGTTGTAGTTCTACTAGAACAGTGATTTCCAGGTTTCCACACAGTGTGATAGGAACTTCAAAAGTGGTCTGTAGAACAGTATTAAGCAGTATCTGTACTTGGGTATTCTACTCATGATCTAGAAATACTAGAAAACCTAATGGGTTTTGATGGGTTCCCCTCACCTGTACTTTGAATTACGTTTTTTAAAAAGTTGAGATAATTGTGGTTCATAATGCATGATTTTTACTTTATCTTATGACAAATGAAATGACCACAAACCTATTAAAACAGTAATGCAATTATAAACTGTGAGAGGATAGATGTCTGCTGAGTAGGCTGTGAGAATATGTGCAGTGTGGTATTCCCTCAAAATGAAGGGCTTTTTAGCATGCTTTTTAGATGCTTCTGATCACTTTCAAATTGTGCCAGCAGTTGATTCAGATCCTATTAATAAAAGATGGGATATCGGGAGGAACTGGGAACATCTGCTTGCATATATACTTGCTGTTAGGTTTCATTGTTTCTGTTTTCTGACCTCTGTAAAGTGATACCATCTGTAGATAGCTTAACATGGAGAATTTCATTTAGCAAGTAGCTGGAGGGCATTATCAGGAATGCAATTTATAATGGGAAAATAATGTTTTTCCTAACATAATTTTTTCACAAGATTCACAAGATATTGGTTTTGATTATTCTTTAGCAAAACACATCTGTAGGTGCAGATAAAGCATGAGTGTCTAACATTTTGCAAAGTTCTGAGGAAACTAAAACTACATCAATAAATGAAAACTTTTTAGCTAGATGCTTTATCTGTGCCTACCCTATGGAAGCAATTATTTAATTAAAGTTGGTAAAACCAGTGGCTGTGCTTACTTCACTGAGATTTGTGAAAATATACAATAGTTGCAGAAATCAAGCTATAGGACATAGGCTAGTTTCTCCACAGAACAATACAAATTTTTATATATGTGACTGGAATTTTTCAGCAACTTAATTACACTTTGAGAAGTCTCAAGTACTTCACATTTTCTTCATCAATATGAGCTTTTGTACTAAAAAACATTGTTTTACTCTGATTTAGTGACCTCTCTGATGCTTTAATAATCTTTCAACTGTATGGTATGACTCGTGTGCCAGTTGACTGGAACCACGTAAACAAGCCTCCTTATCCATTACTTGGTGGTAATATGAAAAAGGTGGGTAGATACTCCATAATAGAGTCTGCTTTCTCTGTCTCCCATCCTGGTGGTAGTAGGTATCTGGTTTGTCTAGATTTGTGTGCTACTGAGACAGTCCTGGAAAAAACAGTAAAAAAAAAAAAAAAAATCTTCCAGCTATAACCTCAAGGAATAAATAGCAGTTATAGCCTATATTACTTCAGTTTTTAAGTTGTGGACACCTTTTGGTAATATTTAATTAAGAGTCTAATTAGGGTATATAAGTAAAAGTTTCAGGCCTGGCATAGCTGTTGTTGCCTGATGCTCTTATATTGTGGGGTGTTTCCTCATGGAGCAGTTCTACATGCTGCTACGAGAATTTGTGTAGGACTCGCAGAATCAAAGCTTTTGGTTAGTTTTGTGATCACTATGAAGCCAGAAATGTAGTGGGAAAAAAATACTGTCTATTTAAGAACATCACATTTCAATATTTTTCCAAATTCCGTTTTGATGTAAGTATATGTTAATTTATTGACATTAGTGGAAGTGACCTTAGTTTTCTCAAGTGTGAAAAAGATTGTCATTGGAATCTTGCATGCTTGTATTTATAGTAAAAACGATGTTATTTTAATCACAGTGTAGAAAGGCTAGAAATCTGTGTGGGGTTTGTCTTATGGTCTTGGGGAGATACTCCATACATTCAATGTCTTCAAGCAGATTTATGTTACTATTTTTAAATGTGCAATTAATGTGGTGGCTCTGGAGGACTTCACTGAGGTAGAAATCACAGTTCTGGCCTGGTGGTGAAAGCAGCCATGTGGTGTGGCTTTGTTCCCACAGGGGCTCAGCACGTGAGCCGGCCTCGCTGGCTGCTGGTCTGACATCATCAGCTGCTTCTCTGCCCCAACAGCTGGGCAGAAATAATTGCAGCAACAGCACTTGATGTTTTAAGAATAGATGAAAACACATCTGTGTATTAAATACAAAATGCAGACTGCTTGTGCTAGCTCAGAGTACCGTTTAAGTTGAAAAATTATAAAAAGAATGAGCCATAAACTAGGGCAGAGAATAGTTCCATTACAAGAAAAGGAGAAAAATAAAAGTAATTGGGGAATGTAAAGACCTTTTTGTAGTCTTGAAAGTCTGGTCCTTGGACTTCTTTCAAAGTTCCCTTGCTTCCTTAGGGAAAGGAGGGCAGTTTCTTTCATTAAATAAATTTAAAGAATTTGTGTAATAACAAGATTAACACTGAGTGTGAACCTTATCATTTTGATTGTGGAAAATGACAATAGACCTCATAAAAGGGGAGAAAAACTTTCACGCAATAAAGTAACAAAACATGCTGCTCTCTTTCAATAGGTATCTAAGCTGTGCTATTGTTTTGGGTTTTTTTGCATTGTGATGACAAAATAATCAAAGCAAATTCCTTATGCTAATCTTTTGAATCTTTTCTTTTAGGACAAATCAATTAGCACTAGTTTACCTGTCCTAGATTTAATAGATGCCATTGCACCAAAAGCAGTTCGTCCAGAAATGGTCAAGAGAGAAGATCTTTCTGACGAAGACAAATTGAATAATGCTAAGTAAGTTTTAAATTAGTGCTTTCTATTTTCCTAAAGTGCAGGAAATGCATAATTCATGGCGTAATGAATGATTTACTGATTTATTAACAGAGAGAAAGGTTACACTAACATTAGTTGATTTGATTATAAAGATTCTCTAAGATTTTAGAGCTGCTTTTCTAGCATATTTAAAATATGAACTCGAATTCATGACTGATAAGACCTACCGGCACTCCAATGCAACTAGTTTATTAGTAGCCTGTCATAACCCATATTGGTTTTGACAAAAATGCGTTGATAATCAGTTGCAAAACGTTGGTTAATACAATTGCTAATACATGCTTGCTTCCCAATAATGTGAAGAATTTTCACATAGAGTGTAAATACTGATTGAACAGGCACAGCTTGCTATTAAAATCTGTTGTTCTTGGTGTGAATCTTGGCACACTAGTAGATGCAAGGAAAATAACGATATTTATTTTCTCTTGCTTTCCAAGGTATGCCATTTCAGTTGCTCGAAAAATCGGTGCTCGTATATATGCTCTCCCAGATGATCTGGTTGAAGTGAAGCCAAAAATGGTGATGACAGTGTTTGCATGTTTGATGGGAAGAGGACTGAACAGAATAAAATAATGAAGAGATGTAATACAACTTTCTGCCATGTTAAGCACGATGAATGCCTCATAGTTTACACAGTTCTGAAGCTTAGTGTAAAGCAAGAAAAATTGTATGCACAAATATACTCATTAATTACCTTTTAATAATGTGTTTATATTGGTTAAACTTTTATTCAATTTCATAACACATTGATTATTTATGGGTAATACTGTATTCAGAACATGTTCATTACCGAATTAACATCACAAATTTGTATTGCTTTAAAAAAACCCAGACCATATTAATCAAGCTTCATTTGTATTAGTTTCCATAGCATTGTAAGAATCTGCATCATTTTACATGTTATTTCAGGACCTATTGTGAAACATTGTTTGATTTTTGTGAGTGTTACTTACTTGTAGTCACACGGGTCTCAAGGTGCATTCCTGTCCTGTCCTATTACTCCTAACCGCCCGAAAGTTATCATCCTTGCCTTATTCTTTGAGAGCTTAACTCCTGTTGAGGCCAATGACAGTCTTGCCATTGACTTCGGTGAGAGCAAGAGAAGGCCTATGATAATGTCTGGAAACTAATTAATACTGTTAAAGCTGATGAAACCTTTCTGTGGGACTAACATACGTAGTAGTTTTGTCCTGTTACTGAGCAGGAACTTCTATGGTCTGTATCTTAATTAAAAACAGCAAATAGTAAGCAGAAATGTGATCATGTCATTACTAGGTCTGCATATACATTAGATTTTGCAGTTGGACTAAAGATCTGATTTCTTTTTTTTTTTTAATTTTTCATAAAATATTGTATAAGAAAATAATAAAGAGCTGGCAAGTCCAGTTTGGGATTTCACATTAATGTATTGCATTTCCTCATAGATTATTCCTTTGATTTTCCTAAAGTGTATATTGTGTGCAGAGGTTTTGTCTGGAAAGACTGGTGCATTTTCTGGATAAGATGATACCCATAATTATTATTAATTTTAAAGTATTTAAACACCTTTCTTTGCAGCTGTAAATTATCACAACATCCTGGAGGTGGATGTTTAATAAAGTTATTACCAGAAGCCAAACATTAAAAAAGAAAGAAAATAAAAATGAAAGGGTGTTTTGTCTTTTAAGTATGAAGCTGCTACTTTGTCAACAGTCCTGAGTGTGGCAAAACCTAAGAATCATGATAAGTGAACAGTTGGACTTTGTCTTCAAAATCTTGCACAACTTATTAACAGAAAGAAGATGCATCAATTTAGTTTCTATTATATAAGGGGATACTGGGAGGTAATACAATTAAGTGCTTGGATTTAGATCCATTTGTATCTCTCCTGGTTTGTATTGTCTGGACAAGAATAAATTATTCATATTTGATAGTTAACCTGGTTTCTATTCCCAGTTCCCCATGAAGACCAGCTGTTGTACAGAATTTGAGTTCTTTGCCTTGATTCTTGAGATTAATCAAAGTCCTTGTTCAAGATAGGCTAACGTGAGGCTTACTTAATCCCTGTACTGCAAGAAAAAATGATCTCTTCTTGAGATATGCAATTCTAAACTACTGTGTTTACTTATGCAAGCATTTGGCAACTTACACAACAGAAAATATAAAAAGTAAAGTATTGGTGTAGTGTTTTGTTCCCTTTAGGAAAACATATGCTACAATTAAATCTCCAGAATTACTTTAAACTTGCTTTGGTCACATTGAAATGGGTTCTCAAAGGCAACATCTCATGCTTCTCAGCCTATAAGTTTGACATAAATGCTAAGAACTACATGTTGAAGGATAAATGACAGCTAACACCATCTGAAAAGAGTTGTTTTGGAATAACATTTGTTTTGAAGAGGGCAAGTGTTAGAGGAGGAGTCAGACTTTTTGGTTTACGTTAATTCTACATCGCTCACCTGAAGCTATTAACGGCTTCTGTGCCTCTACACGCAGCAAAGATACACAAGAATTCACCAGTTATTTCCATAGTGTATCATACAGAAAATTGTGTCTGGTAGCTCATGTAACAAGGACAAAATGGCATGTAATTTTAACATGAAAAGGGAAAACAAGTAGATATTTCTAAAGTATGCAGGGAAGAGGAAAGTGAACAGTTTAACAGCTCTTTGGAAATCACTGCTGAGTGGGGCCGCCTGTGCTGGGGTCAGCCCGGCGCTGGGGTCAGCCGGGCCGGTTCCTGGAGCAGTTGGGACAAAAACAGACTTAAGGGGAAAAGGCAGAGGCGGGGACGACCCGTTGGGCGCTGGGCCGCGCCGCGGTCTGTGCGGGGAGCGGGACCCCCGCAACCCCCTCACCGCTGCCCACGGGCGCGGGCTCCGTGACCGGTCGACCCCGCCGGGGGAAGGGGAACCGTGGAGCCGCGGGAGGAGGCGATGACGGGGCGGCGGCTGTGCCTCCTCGGCCGGTGGGTTGGTGGGTCGCCACAGAGCCCAGCGGCGCTCCTCCCCGCTGCCCCTCACCGGGGGGGACGCCGCCATTGGAGCCTGCGCAGTGCGGCGGGGAGCGGTCGCCCTCCGCCCTGCCCTGCCCTGCCCGCCCGTGGGGCTGACAGTGCCGGGGGTGGCCGCCCCGCTCCCTCCGGGGTGGCAGCGGGCACCGGGGGTCGGGCCGCACCGAGCTACCGGCCCGCCCGCGCTCTGATGGGCCTGGCGGAGCCGGCGCCATGGCCGCCTTGTACCAGAGCGCGGACCCGTCCGCCTCGGCCTCGCCGAACAAGCTGCTGGCGCTGAAGGACGTGCGGCAGGTGAAGGAGGAGACCACCCTGGACGAGAAGCTCTTCCTGCTGGCCTGCGACAAAGGTACCGGCCCCGCCGCCCGGCCCGGCCCGGCCCCGCCCACCATCTGAAAAGAGTTGTTTTGGAATAACATTTGTTTTGAAGAGGGCAAGTGTTAGAGGAGGAGTCAGACTTTTTGGTTTACGTTAATTCTACATCGCTCACCTGAAGCTATTAACGGCTTCTGTGCCTCTACACGCAGCAAAGATACACAAGAATTCACCAGTTATTTCCATAGTGTATCATACAGAAAATTGTGTCTGGTAGCTCATGTAACAAGGACAAAATGGCATGTAATTTTAACATGAAAAGGGAAAACAAGTAGATATTTCTAAAGTATGCAGGGAAGAGGAAAGTGAACAGTTTAACAGCTCTTTGGAAATCACTGCTGAGTGGGGCCGCCTGTGCTGGGGTCAGCCCGGCGCTGGGGTCAGCCGGGCCGGTTCCTGGAGCAGTTGGGACAAAAACAGACTTAAGGGGAAAAGGCAGAGGCGGGGACGACCCGTTGGGCGCTGGGCCGCGCCGCGGTCTGTGCGGGGAGCGGGACCCCCGCAACCCCCTCACCGCTGCCCACGGGCGCGGGCTCCGTGACCGGTCGACCCCGCCGGGGGAAGGGGAACCGTGGAGCCGCGGGAGGAGGCGATGACGGGGCGGCGGCTGTGCCTCCTCGGCCGGTGGGTTGGTGGGTCGCCACAGAGCCCAGCGGCGCTCCTCCCCGCTGCCCCTCCCCGGGGGGGACGCCGCCATTGGAGCCTGCGCAGTGCGGCGGGGAGCGGTCGCCCTCCGCCCTGCCCTGCCCTGCCCGCCCGTGGGGCTGACAGTGCCGGGGGTGGCCGCCCCGCTCCCTCCGGGGTGGCAGCGGGCACCGGGGGTCGGGCCGCACCGAGCTACCGGCCCGCCCGCGCTCTGATGGGCCTGGCGGAGCCGGCGCCATGGCCGCCTTGTACCAGAGCGCGGACCCGTCCGCCTCGGCCTCGCCGAACAAGCTGCTGGCGCTGAAGGACGTGCGGCAGGTGAAGGAGGAGACCACCCTGGACGAGAAGCTCTTCCTGCTGGCCTGCGACAAAGGTACCGGCCCCGCCGCCCGGCCCGGCCCGGCCCCGCCTGCCGCGCCCTCGGGGAGCGGAGGCCTCGGCCGCTCGCTCTGAGGCCCCGAGCCCCCGCCTTCGCCCGGCGGCTTGCGTTGGGGACGGGGGCGAATCTTGCGGGTACCCGCGCCTCGCACCCGGGGGGCTCGGCGGCAGCTGGGGGCTCGGCGGCGGGCTGAGGAGGCGCCCCGCGGGGAGGCCCCCGGCCCCTCCGCCTGCCCTGTCCCCGGTCCTCGCGGGCGCCGGGAAGGGAGGCCTCGGGCCAGCTCCTTCTGGGCTTGTGTGGGTGGTCGTTTTGTGTCAGAGGAGTTCCTGTGGTATTCGCTGTTACAAGAGTCTGTGAGTATAGAGTTGCAAAATGGGGGGCTTACCTGGACATCCCCAAAACGAGTGAGACTAGTTTCCTTGATTTGTACCCGTTGTGGTGGGTCAGAAGGGATTTTCATTTTTTTAAATAAGCTATTTACTTTAAGAGTTTACTTTGTTGTCCTTAAGTAGAGAAACAGTCTTAAACCAAGCACATCCAAAACATTGGACTCCCAGGTAGGCTTTTCATCAGGTGTGGAGCGGTGGTGTCTGCTCTGGGGCATGAGCAGGGCTGGAGAAGCCGGTGTGTTTAGGGGCCCTGTGCGTGGGCTGGTTGGCAGCGGTGGGGTCTGTCCACCCTGATGGGTCAGGGTGAGGGGGCTTCTCCTGCTGCTCCGGGCTGGGGGACACCTTGCTTCAGATAGCCAGGCGGCCAGCTCAAGAAAAGAGCCTTAAGAAAAGACCAAGCCAGCTTTTTCCTTAGGTATAAACAGAGGCTCAGGGAGCTATAGGAGGCGCAATGAAAAATGTGAAGAAAAAAAAATAATTGTGTATATAACAACTGGTTTAGTACTCTTGAAGACTCTGTATGTGTTCTACGGTATGTAGAAATAGTCTACGTATCCATCTGTAAGTATTCTGCCCTAAGGTCTGTCTTTGTTGTGGTCTTCTATGTTGCAAAATAATTTGTTACCCTAGAAACAAAAATAATTCAAAGCTTTTATCATTGGCAAGAAGATAAACAGAAAAATACTGAGCAGGGCAGCCTGGTGTGTCTGTACTTCAGTCAAATAGGAAAAGGCAGCTTATGTACTTCTTACTGTAGTTTGCTTGCTCATCAGACTTGCAATCTTGAATTTTGTAACATTGCAGCATCATACCACACCTGCTTGGGTGATACATAGCTAAAATTGGAGTGATGCAGAGAAGGCTGACACGGCTTCTGCTCAAGGAAGATGCAAACCCATTTGTAGCACTGTAGAGAGGGCTTCTCCAAGCCCATGACTTTTTTTGAACCAAGAAGCCTTTTCTGATGTAGTTGAACTTAATGTTTCCTGTGTCTCCCAGGTTATGTGTGAGCTATTGCCCCGGTTTTGAAAAGTACCCATGCTTTTGTGTGTGTTTGTTTTTAGGCGTGGAACTGAAGGGGTGGATTAAAGTCTTGGTCTTGGTGCTTTCCTGAGAGATTCCTCCCAAAATATCTTTAGTTTCCTCCCTGATGAGAGAATTCTTATCTGCCTTGCTGTTTTGGCTGGATTGGCCAATCAGAATGGCAGATGGTCCCTCCCTCCCCCCTCTTCAAAGAGAGGAGGAAGGCATAAAGAGATTTATGAGTTTAAAGAACTAAACTACTTTGCTGAAAATATTAATAAATAATGAAATAAATAATAATAAGAAAAAGAATTTTTAAAAAGGGGAAAGAAAAGGTATACAGTATATACAAAACTGTATCAAGCTCCCAGGATGACGATCGTGTCACCAGCAGGCACAGGGAAAAGTCCCAGGCTGGACTCGGCAATGGACAGGAGCTGGATTCCGCATCCGGAGTCAGGAATGCTCAGATCAGGATCAAAGGCAGACGAACAGACAGGGTCCTCCTCAGGTGTTGGCCATTGAAGAAAGAGACTTGACTGCGATCCCTCAGCTTTTATACTGAGCGTGATGCAGGTGGGGTGGAATACCCTTG